CATTATATTTCCCTGAGAAATAGTAGAATCGTCAAACTCAACGAGAAGTTGACCAACTGCAGTGATGATTACTGCCGTATGCATCAAAAATATCAAGAGATTACAGACACATTATAACTGCGGTAACTAACAAGGTTTCTGTTTATTTGTAGTTGCCTGCAGAACCGTTGCAGCTACGTAAAGCCATTTACAAAATAACTTTTAGTGGTAAACGACCTTGTTCAAGAGGAAGTGCCAATCCTAGGCTTGACAAACATGTCGGAATAAATCTCTGTAAAAGGTGTATGAAAATCATGCATGCTAATGTTTTCTTCATCAGGCTGTAGAAGAATAGCGTTAAGATGCATCAAGGTGTAGTAGAATATTGTCTGCCAAAAATTTGTACATTTGAAAGAATGAAGCCACTGGATGAAAACATCTGTCCCAGAATATTCTAGAAAATAACACAGGTAATACTTTAAATATTGCCTAATGCTCTAACAAGCTATAACGGCAACGACTCATACTCGTAGTTGCCACACCACTCGAAACGTACTGTTCAATAAAGAAAGCATGTCAGCCTGATAAACTGACGATAAGCATAGTTTTCTGATGAAGATGCACAAGATATTTATACTCATCACTTCGAGGAAAAACTCAACAACCAGGCATTGAGTTTTCAACGTCTGTTTCAACATACATCTACTCGAAAGTCGGAAATGTTTGGGGGTAACAACAAATTGCTAAAATAATAACCAACGATTGGTGTTTACTTTTTGCCTAACTTATTACGTTAATTTTCTTTGGACGGCATGAGAGAAAATTATTGGTGTATGCCAGAATTACCGTATCTCAACAGCGGTGACAGGTTAGTTGCAAGTATATATAGCCGGTTGAAGAATTTCAAACAGGATGGAATATACATTAGAGATCCCTACACTAGCCACCATCAAGGAAGAATAATATTGAAAGGAAGCAAGTAGAAGTTTATTCAACAGATAGCGAAATATGGAACGTAAAATACAGTTTGCTAGGTTTGTATTGTAAAATCATCTCAAAATCAAGCTACTGTGGAAACAAATGTCAAGTCAAAAGAAGATTAAATGTTTCTTCTAAGTTATACTCAAATAGTATACCAAGGTTTTCAATTTTTAATATTACCATACACTTTTGTACTAGAAGGACACTAATTTCCAGGGTGTCAACTGTTTATTTCTCTTGTTACATACATGTGAGTTCAACTCACAGATAAATATTTCCAGTTTCAAGTTTTTAATACTCCTGATTACAATCAACGCAGAAAAGAGCGTTTGCAAGCTATACTGAAACCCTTTACCATTAAAATTAATCATTAGGCCTACTCAAATATGATATTAAAGCTTTTAAAGTTGAAGAAAACGAATTTCCTTGTACGAAGTCTATCTATATTTACTTGATGAGTATTAGACTTGTGAAACTTATCACTTTGAGTGTCTGGAAAAAAAAGGAAACGCTTGATATTATTTAACACCCTTATAACTTTTAAGACGGTATAAACTGTGTGTGGGTAAATGAAGTGTTTTTAGTGTAAATTTTTTAGGCATTTGGTTGTGAAGTTCATTCTGAGTAGAAATGCATTCCTTCAGCTAAATTACAGTTTGTATTTCATTTTTTGACTAAACACACTATCTAAGAAAGCGACTGACATCACTGAATTTTGAAAAAAATTGTTGCATTGTTACAGTTTAAAGTCAGGAAGCAGTAAGAATACGCCAACGTATGGCTGAATACCATTACTATGCAAATATTGGTTCATTCTGCTAACTTCATTAGTGTGTATTTTGGCTAAGCAAGTATTGATGGTAGTAAATAAACTTATCTGAAAGTAGATCCAGGAAGGTTAACGAAGCTCAGTCAGACTGGCTTAGATCAAATATCGGAGTAAGTTCTAAATTAAAAAACTGTTCAATTTTGGAAATATATTCTGTAAACGTTTTCAGATCACGGTTGAGAGACGCTAAAGTAAAGTTCGTTGCTTCTTATTCAGAATATGACTGACAACAGAAACCAAATTTATCTACCGAATATTTATTTATTGAAGCATTTTAAAAATTCTTTTTTATCAAGGAAATGGGCTTGATGTAGGCATAAATTATGGACTATGTAACGCCTATTTCTAATCCTGTCCTACTGAAAAACTCGAGACTATCAATGCTGACTAACTTCAACAAATCACAGGTTTTCCAAGTAAGGTACACTAGAAATAAAAAGAAATGTATTAAGTCAGAGTGTAAACCATCACTACTTAATTTTGCCTACATCTAAATTTATCCTCACAGAATATTAAATTTATAAACATTGAAGTAACTTATTGAGCAAATAAACTGAGGCAGGAGTAAAATTATATCATGTCACTACTGCTTATGAAGATTTTAATGACTGAAGGATAGCTATAAGTCGACGGGATGTATTGTCGACTAAATAAGTCTCATCGAAGAAGATAAAGATACTAGAAAACTCCATTTATGCAAAATGAAAATTTTCAAGAGATAATGTGAAAATTTAGTGTTTCTTAGTAAATCTTATCTTTCTATTGAAGTGATTTACTAGGAAATTTTATTTGTTACCAATGGTTTTTTTACAATTATTAGATCCCCGAATATTTTCAGGATTTCGGAATTGTTGATTATTCTGTGCATACTTCTTTATCTCAGATAGATTTTCAATTTGTCTAAAGTTCCATTATCATGATTAAGAACTAACATATGTGTTTTCTTATTTTCAACTAATTTATGGTCACCAAGGAGGCAGTTTATTATAATTCAGTAAGATATCCTTATAATTGTTACTTCTCTTAGGAGACTGACAGGATGCTAACAATATCTATTAGAGATGACTAGTACAGCTGATTCAGCATTCAAGTGTATTGAAAGTGTGACATTATTACTAGGAGAACAAAAATTCCGACTGTCACGGTTTCCTCTTCTATAAAACCTTAGATAAGGCAGATTTGCATATTTCACCAAAATGTCTACAAAATCTATCATATAATACACGACATTTCAAGAAATGTGTTCGAGAAACTAAATCTGCATACACATTTCAGTTAAAACTCTAAGTTAGGAAAGGCTTTGTCCACAGCTTATGATTGACTGGGAATATACTGTTGTCGATGTACCATGTTACTTAAGAATTCACATTTGTAATTACTTAAATTGCAGTAATTTACTATGGGAGCTGCTATCATACCCATAAAAATATTGTTATGCATTCAAACGAAACGTTATATGGGATTAATCTGAAACTAAAGAAAGATTATTTGTTTTCAAGTTGGCATTCATCATGGCTGACATCAGTTGAAGGAACATCGGAAAACTGGGGGCACTGAAAAGCTGTATTTTCATGGTATGGACCCCTTAGCATTGCAGACTTATGACTCATCCTTGCTAGACAGTGAATCCAGGACCTTAAGGTTCTCCAACGTGCACGCTAGCATTGAGCAAAAGAGTCAGAATCCAACGTTAGGAGGGATAATCAACGACGGTATTAAATGCAGGTCTCGCCATACAGTGAGCTTACAGAAGTAGGAAATATGAACGGTTGGATTCCAACTTATTGTCTCAATGCTATAGCATGCAGACAGCAGAACCCGAGGTCCTAGGTTCGATTTTTAGCGAGATGAGGTCATGAGTTCGCAATGCTGAGGACAAGATAGTTGTCTGGCGCTCCCACAGTTAAAAGTTTACTCCAGCTGATGTCCGTCCATGACGAACGACATCTTGAAATCCACTAATAAATCCCCAGAAACCCGCAAACTGAAACATTTTTAATCAGAATTATCTCTGTTTCACTGGATTGTCTTTATCAGATAGCTTACAGTAGAATCACAATATGGTGGATATTATCCTGATCAATAGCATATGTCCTTGACTTTTGAAAACAGGGAATCTAGAAAGTGTGATGTCATTTGTGATTCCCAAGTAGAAAATATCCTCACTAATAACAAAACTACCGATGACATAAAATTTAAGGATTCTCAGACAGGTGGGGTTAGGATCAGTTTGATCACTAGAGTGGGAAGAGCAACTATACAGGAGACTTTATCTTAATTTGCCTACTAATGAAACCGTCTTACTATCAGACCAGCCATCAAGCTTCATGCTTCCTCAGTATAATGGAAATGTTCAGCGACCAAGGAAATGTCACGAAGTATGTGGTGATTTCAAGATAGCGTTCATCTGGAGTGGCATCACTTAAACAAACACTGAGAATCTGGTAGCACCAAACACCTGTTTCGTTCCAAGATGGGACTCCTCAGCAGTTCACGTTCATAACACTGTGAGGGAGCAAATCCAGTATCACAACTCATCCGTCCAGCCCGTTATTATTTAGCTACTGGGTGCTTCAGCGTTTCAGTGGTTTTCCAACTGATGTCAGTCTATTCCAAAAATCACCATATGGATGGATTAATTACGAACTAAGAAGCTTGGTTGCTGACGAAAACATTCAGAAACAAATTTTAAAAATTAAAAGGCCATGAAAGTATTCACTGTTAACAGGTTGATTGATAAATGTAAGGAAATTTTAGTTGATTGTCGGCTGCAATAAATAGTTACTCATCGAATAATAACTGCTAGTGATATATACTTTTTGCACAGTAATCACTCACAAACTGATTAACTTTGAAATTCAGTCTAGTAATCACTGAGATGATGAGTCAGGTTTCTCTTCTTTGCTGAAGTAAATCAACGCCTTCAGGGTGTGAAGAGACTTTTTGATTACTTCATTAGTTGCCAGATTGACTTTTAAAGGCATTCTACAAATTAAATATGTCTCAATATACTAAAGATGTACTTAGATAACTGAAACGAGCATTATAGGTGAAAACTATATAGAGATGAGAAAACGGTTAACCGTATCTGCAATAGAATAATATTAGTTCCTACTATTTTGTTAACAGTTTTACTCTTTATAGGGGAAATAAAGTAGCAAATTAACTTTCCGAAATAATTTGAGTGTTAACCATGTAGGCTACTACTTACCTGAGAACACGCTCTCAGAGCAACACGGTATGTCGCTGATTGAAACAGACGTTTATTATTCACTTGTAGTGTCTTTGTGTACATATTATAGTTATAGTAGTATGGGTTAGTGTCAATATTGTTACCAGTTTTATCATATGTATCAGATGTAATATCATGAAAATTTGGCATCAGTTCAGTCGTTTTCTGATACACTTGTTGTGATGATAATCCTTCATATGATTCATTACTTCCATTCATGGTGTGTAAATAATACTGATTTTGTACAACAAAATTATCTGTCTCTTCGCTCCCTAATATAACTATGGTTGTCTCGTGATTCGGTTGAAATAAATTTAATGTATGACGTGCCAGGGCTAAATAAGGGGCTTGATTACTTGGTAGGTCAGTATTTTGAGATAGGATTTTCAGATCATATTGTGATGCATCAATACTTGGATGCTTCGATGTTTCAAGATGGATATTGTTGAAAGAATTAAGATCAGATTCCACTGTATTTAACTCCGGGGATACAATAATGTAGTAATTATGTATAGGACCATTTTCTTCTGAAACACGATGTAATTTTACTTCAATAACTGAAGTTGCACCTTGTGGATCTGGTGGGCCTGAATAGATTGCAAGTATTTCAGGTGGCTTGATGTACTGTGGGGCTATAAAAATTAAAAAGAAAAACTGGCTGGGAAAGACTGTGAACACATGAAGTCAAACAGTCAACAGGCTTTAATAAACCTTGATTTCCTTATGAAGTTTTAAGTAAATTTGAATCACCGAATATAACTGTACGAAATAAATGTTTCGAGGGAATTAGGGTAGTAGGCACTTTTACCGTGATTGCATGATATTTTGACCTAAACAATGACCTCTAAGTTCTAACTGTCTTATCATTGAGGCTTGGTTTTGCACCAAGCTGGGGACATAACATACAGATTCCTAAATAACTTAGGAGTTCTAATCCAGGATGAAGAAAAGAACATAACAGATATCATAGGAAGCAAACATATAATTCACTACACACTTGCAAATGATATTTCGACTTAAGAATGCACTTTAGTATGAACTCTGTGTTTCAGAGATAAAATCTTATTCACCCCGCCAGGGAACGCAACCAGGACTTTCAGGTTCCGTGGACAGGTCCTGGATTCGACCCTTGGCGAATCCATGGGTGCACACTGCGGAGGAGTCCATAACAGAAAAACAGTTGTCCAGTGCTCCCAGGTTTTCATTGTTACTCCAATTGATGTCAGTCTGTGATGAATACCAACATGAGAAAACAGTTTTTTAACTTCCTGTTGACTTTCGACACATAGTTTTTCCATTTTCTAGTTATTGAGTATTAACTGCTAGCAAACTAGGATATTTTTAATGCTTTTGTCTAAACAACTTTCTCTTCTGTATGAAATAATGCCGTAGAGTATAAATCTGAAAAGATTGAGTTCCTAGATTTTGATTATATAAGCTTTTCGGGAAAGAATATGAATAGTGGTCTAAAAAGATGGCTTTCTTTTGTCTTCTGAGTGCGCACACTCATAGATCTTTTCAAACCACAATCTGATTTCATCGGTAAAGATAAACTTTTCTTTGGTCATCGAAACTCTTTCTAAGTCAATCTGTTTTAAAATAATCACTTAAGCTGAGAGATTTGCTTTCAGATAATTGATTGTACCTTCAAGGTTTAAAACTTAAATTATGGATATTTTTGTTTTCAAAATAATTTGACACTACTCATATGCACTGCGAAAATTTCATATATTGTCCATGAAAATTAAACTGTTATTCAAATGAGAGATAGTCTGCTGAAATGCGTTAACTGTTTGTGCTTTCTATGTGTAACCGGGATAATGTATAATGTTATTCGTCTTTTTATACATGTCACTTTTTACTTGCATTAACACAGGACATCTTGAATCTATCGTTATATATCTTAACCTATAAATTCTGTCGAAAACGTTATCCATTAATGATACCACTTTACAGTATGACGTCATAAACAGACTAAAATGAAATAACATTCTACAGCAAGACCCAAGTTCCACTGCTTTATTAGGGCTCTAAAGTGTTTTTAATGTCTAAACCATTAGGGCATCTAAATAATTCGTGTAAATTATGTCCCATTCCAATTTTTTTAATACCTGGCTCGCTTTTGAAACCATACTTTAATCTACTTTGTAAACTTGCGGGGATCTTTGCGTTTTTGTGCAGTACAGCTCTACACCATCAACAATAGCGACATCAGCAAGTTCAGATTCTAATCAAAAATGAAACAAAATATAGCCAGGTGGACTGTCAAGAAAAATGGTTGTCAAAAGTACTACAGATTGTAATGAGCTACCTCGGAATTTGTAGAAGCTATCTGAAGACAGCCGTTTCCGGTGATAGTCATACAGGAGTGCTTACATTTCAGGCCGATAGACCAGTAAGTTGAATATTATCTGTTCATGTTGTGTTGAAACTCATTTCTTAATCATACTGAACCTGCGTTTCGGACTGTTCATAAATAATTTTTCCTATTTGAAATGGCGACAGTAGATTTTGTTGGTTGATACTTGATTATTTTACTTTTCAAAGAAGCATTTAGCCTACGAGATGAATCCTCTCTTTCATTTGGGGCAGCTGTAAAGGTTTCATTTTGTATTTACACTTCTCTGAAAATGTGGTAGTGTGATATAACCAAATGTTTTCATAATAATCTTGAGAAGCATATGCTTCTAGTGATTAGATATATAATAGAAGTCATAGTATGACGTTTTAGATTAATATGAGTGAACATCCAATTAACTAAACAAAATCAAGCAACTAGAAAACGAAGGAAGTTCAGATAAGTGTGAACTTAATCACTTTTTAATTTGTAATAAAAGTCAAATGCGGATTTTCACTATTCTAATCAATTCTACTTTAATGTATTTTTGAGATGAATGGAGATTTTTAATTTAGAAGTAGTATTCATCGTGGACTGACATCAGTTGGGGAACCATTGAAAGTCTAAGAGCACTGGACAGCCGTTTCGTCCTAGTATGGGACTCAGCAGTACGCACTCACGACCCGGCTAGGGGTCGAACCCGGGACCTTCAGGTTTCACGGCGAACGCGACCTGTGGGGCCAACCAGTCGGAAGTGAAGTGGATGCTAAGTGAAGACCTTGGGTGACAGTCGCGCTATGTCGTGAACTGACAGAAGTTGGAAATTGTGAACCACTGACCCAGTAGCTGAATCGTTAACTCGTTCACCGTGAAACCTGAAGGTCCCGGGTTCGACCTTTGGCTGTGTCGTGGGTGTGTACTGCTGAGGAGTCCCATACTGGGACGAAACAGCTGCCCAGTGCTCCCGAATTTTCAGTGGTTCCCCAACTGACGTCAGTCCATGATGAATACTACCTCTAAATTCTACTTTAGTCTGCCTAAGTAATCTGTCAAAGGTGACGGATTTATATCTTGCAAAAATTAGCAAGCGTTTCTCCATCTATAAAAATTGGATTATCCATAAAATACATTCAGAACGAAAAAATGCAGACTCATTTGTCCACAACACACTAGAATTTTTATATACTTCTTATAACAGTAAATAAGACAGACTTTCCTGTGCATAATTCATATTCCGATGTCCTTAAACAGTATCTTTATTAGCAATTACCTCTAGAAATGAAACAAATATTTTGCATTAGATGAGAAAGTCAATTGATTGGAAATTCTGGACATAAGTTTCATGTTCATAGGCATCCATCACTAAAACGTGTTTGTCACCATGAGGAAATTTTTGTTCCTTTAGTGATTCAAACATGCGTCATTCAGCACTGTAGTCAGAGATGTAACTACTAAGTAATTCATCCCACAGCTGATTTTCTTTAGGAATATGATACAGTTAGCCAATGGTGACCAATTCGTCTAAAGTAAATTGTGGTTAGGTAACTGATTCTTCAAGGTCATCAACGGTATCAATCAGAACGAAGCAAACGTACTTGGTACAGAAACTTAGGGTCCTGAGTTTGGTCTTGGAAAATCTTTATTGTGTAATATTTCCTAATTAAAGAACAGTTAAGAAGCAGTTGTTTAATATGCTTTTATTTTTTAAGATCTAGCCCAGACATCACTGAAAAGACTTTCAAAAGTTCAATATCCTAAGATAAGAACAAACTCTCAATAACTTCCTAAAACAACACGGATTTTGACAGACCAAGGTAATCAGGTTTCCTACGAAATATTGATTACTGATAGAAAACTGTATGATAAAGATCATTCACCAAGTTAATTTATTGATCTGGAAAATGTCAACTATGATTTATCACAATTCATTAAAGGAGTTTGAAAGTCAAAACTTTTTCATCATTGACTAACTTGTGTATATGAATGCGTTTGTTCTTCAATTAAGTACCTTATTCATTTACACATAACCGAATTTTATTCGCCAGTGGACTGACAAGTGTGGATTAAAGTGGATTGGAACCACAGTCATGTTGAATCCCAGTTTAGTCCTGCAAATGAGATATTCGTTTTATTATTAGCGATCTCTTAATGACTGGTATGAAACCTGCTGAGTCCCAGATTTCTGTTTAACTTTCAGTCAACAGTTCAGTCTGCCAAACAACGGCTATCTCAAATAATCAAAGTGATAATCAATATTTTTACTACCAGTTTATCAAGTGTGACGTTGATTGAGTTCTCTTTTTAATAAAATGACTGGAGTTTAAAAAAGACCTTCAGATCTAATGAACATAGTTATTCATGACAATTTATTTCCTTAGTCAACCACATTTCAGAGTTGAATGCTGATACCAAACTCGACTACTATCTCGATAGATATGGAATGATCAACTTGTACACAAAACTGAATCTTACAGGGGTCATTTATGGTCTGAATGGTTTATTGATAAATTTTTGTATTTCAACACTTGGTGGCATACGGTCAAATAACCGAAGTTACTTCAATTTCTTCATGCTCGCTTGATTTTCTTGCTGATGAGTGCTGAAGAACATAAGAATTCAAGACTTCATGCTAGTTGATCTAAAAACTCCTTAACAAATGCATTTCTTGATTATCGTATTCCACTACCGATAAGGTGAAATGAATATGCTGTTCATACTTAAGAGAAAAAGACAAATAAATTATGTGTTATCCGAAACCTGGAGTAACTACAGAACTTTATCGACAATATTCGAAAACGATACGCTGAAGAAGACTATGCTTAACACTAACCACGAAAGCTATTGAGTATGTCATGAACAAAGCTTTAAAATTCTCAGAAGTGTTTACAAGTAAGTATATTTGTGGGATAAAAATAGGGATTCTTTTAAGGTCATTTCATTTATATACCATCTACCGAATGCTTAACTGACTTAATTAGGTTGAAATTCGATCATGTTGTCAACAATATTTCAGTGGTCCAGATTTTCAGTAGTACCTATGGGAATTTAATTTGAAAATGAAATTTTATAGTATGTCTTCCAGTATACCGTTGCAGAACGGCACTTTAGGTGTGAGGTGAAGTGCATGAATTTTACAAGCTTGATATATGATATAACCGTAAACCAAAATGCGCGACCTAACGCAAGTGCAGTAGTGTTTTTAAACAATTGGTAAACTGGTGTTGAATATAACTATATAAGTAGGGAAATTATTGCGTCTATCATAAATGTTACTGGAAACAGCAAATGCCTCATTACACATGGTAGGACTGGTATCATACAAACCCTATTCGAAAGATATTCTGAAGTACTTCTACAACAATTCTGGGACTCAGCAGTAGTGTTGAAGGATAACATGGTTGTTTTTCCACACAACTAACCTGAAGTTTTAATTCTTTGTTTTCCATGAAGACTAAGTTGCTTTTATACGATTTAAGTATATCCAACTCTTATCAAGACGCATTATGACCACCGAACAGGATATTCTCATGAAAGCACAGAAAATAACTGGCACATTCGAAAACACACTGCTGTGGTTCTACAATAGTGCACAGTTTACAGTGTATCTCTTGAACCACTCAGTACCTCAAACAACAAACTAACTACTAAACATTTGTTTAGTGCATCTTTACAAAGAAGAGGTACTGATCCGTTTTAATATCCTTTATTTTAACCTATTATACTGCAAAGACTATACGTGCGTATGTTTTACCCCTTTTTGACACTTAAATCTATGTAACTAAAGCGCTACCTCAGCGCCACATTGGCAAAACGCATGTTTAATTTGGGCTTTGTGGGGACTTATGGATTTCAAGTTGGTATTCATCATGGACTGGACAGCTGTTTCGGCCATAGAAAGCCAGCTTTTTTCAAGACTGTCTAATTTTCTGCCCTACTGTACAAGCCTAGCTATTCACGTTCTCATGCTAGTTTTGTTAACACCAATTTACGGATATAAAAAGCCACGAAGTTTTCTAAGTGGTAAGACAAATCTTAGTGTGTCAATAAAACTTGGATTTCAACTACTGTCTATTCAATACTTTTATTCTGGGATCAGTCTGTGTCCATCCATCTATCTTCTAAATGCTTGTTGAGTTGTATACCTCTTTGTCAGTAGATTACTGCTTTCAAAGTGCTTCCTGGAAGTAGTTACTGATATTATGAAAGTAAGAATTCATGGAGACATGCAATATCATGCTAGGGAATTATAACTTAATCCATGACCAAAAACTGTTTGTAAATAGTAAGTTAGCATTCTGTAAGTCTATGCACAGTTTTAGAGTCAGCCCCCAATTAAGTTTCATATCTACCAGTATTTTTCGACAAGAAGTGTCAGGAAGCTAAAGAAAATTTATACCATTCTCAGTATCCAGGCTATTACCACTTAGTGTTATTCTTAAGCCAGAACACAAATGGGTCACAAGTTATTGCCTAAAGTGACTTGATCGCCTCTGAAAATCCAAGTGTAATAAAAGTTGAAATAAGTGGGAAATAGTATCACTTGTATGTGATCAAACTGAATTTTAGCCTCAGTATACTATTTTCACCTGAACAATTGAGCAAGACTTCAGATATTTTTTTATAAACAAAAAGAAACAAACTTTCATTATAAACAGATTAACACTTACCACTCCATTCAGTATGACATATTATAGTGACAGGTATTCCTTCTTTGGCACCAATATTGCCTTCTGAGATTAGAGCACGATAAATAGGACGTATAGTTACTTTATACTGACTATTCGGTTTTAAATTTGGTATTTTCATCTTATGCGTTTGTTGTTGATGCTGTTGATGATGTTCCAGAGCTGATATATCACCAATTAAATTGACTAAAGGCCAATTCAACATTTCAGGTCTACTAGTATCAATTTGTAGATCTATACTGCGATGAAGATTCATTTCACCCAAATAAACTGACTTTAATACACCACTACTTGTAAAAAATTCACTACGTCCAGATGAATGCAACTAAATTATGGGGAATGAAAGATATGATACATGAAAATTTTTTTATTTTTGTTGAAAATAAAACACTAGATGAACAACTGAGTTCGCATGATCAGGTTATCCTAATTATTAAAGTATCTTGCTAAAAAAAATGTCTCAGTATCATTCTCCAGTCAGAAAAAGCCCAATCCAACTATCAACCTTATAAATGATGAAGGAGAAATCGTTGAGCTTCTAGTGATGGACTTTAAAATTCACCAATTAAACTTCAACTAACTGTACTTAACAAATATTGTATTGTAAGCCGCTTAATTTGTCTTCACAGATCTTTACTTTTTGTATCAGTGATAACTCACAAAATATAGTATCTACATCTTACACATTGCAAACTTGATCGATTAAGTCAACACTGAAGATCAAGCAGTAGACAGCTAAATCAGTTACCCACTCATCACCAATTTGCACATACAAAATAGTCACATTTCAATGTATAAGTGTGTAGACGGTTAAAAGTTTAAAGTAGGATCTGATAAGCTCTTTAACTCTGTTAATTGTTTTAGAACGTATTTAATTTTAGGTGGACTGATATGATGCAAGATAATGCACATCATCTAGCACTTTATTAGTCAGTGACATCATCTTTGATTGTATACAACAAAGAATATTCCAATTTTCGTGACTAAATTAACTTCTGTGAAATAACAACTAAGACTTTATACCATACCTTTTAAAATATGAACCATAACAAAGTTTGTAGATTTCAGTCGGCAAATTTTCAGCTGGAAAAGGCCAATGTGAAAAAGCCAGTTACTACTAACTAACACTTCAATGAACTTCGTCATTTTGGAAAAAAATTAGTGTTACTGAAATCCCAGTTATGGGCTAATCATTAACTTTACTACAGCTGATCCAAAAGCATTATTCCATACCACAGAAAAAGCCAATATTTAACAAATAGTTTTTAATATAAAAAATTCTTGACTGCAAACCTACCTGATATTCCAATAGATTGGCCAAATGCACCGGGGGTAACCATTCAATAGTTATTGAACTTGGCGTTTTATGTACACATTTGAAATTTTGAACAGTAAATTTCTCTGGTTGATCAGGTATATCCATAAAGCTGAAACGATAATCCTCACGATTATTCATGTTGTTAATAATATCATCCACTTTTGGATAACCTTTCTTCCTATGGCCATTGAGATTGTCATTATTATCATCACCATCATCACGAATAACATTTGTACGCTGGTATGGATGAATTTTAACAATATCTGATAACTGACCTTCATTTCCGTTGAAATCTACTGAACTTAGACGAATTAAGTAACCTTCATTTGGTGATAAGTTACTCTAGGGAATATAAGATAAAGAGAAAAGCCTACATGTGATACATTTAACCTAAATGAAGCTTGAAAGCATTACTTCCATATTCAGAATGCATAGTACTGAACAGTTAATACCCAGTCTAGTGGTTTAAAACAACTAACTACTAGTGTTATTATTGTTTATTAATTGTTCCTTAGGTTTCTAGTGAAACATGGAGCTTCAGTAGCATGTCGACAATTCACTCTCTGCTCTCCAATCTTTTTAACCTGGCTCTACCGCTACCCGTAACCTTTCTTTTCTTCCTCACATGATCTCGTCTATGTCACCCTCGCTTTGGACGCACAACTAATTATTCCCATTTGATTTCCACTTGACGGCCTGGTGCGTGATGTTCCCAAACTGTCTTCTCTGTGTATGTCCAACCCAATCCATCTCCACTTTCTTCTGCATATTTGTTGGGTGATAGGTTCATGTTTGGTTGGTGGCCAGCTAGAGTTCGTTGCTGCTTATTCTTTCTGGCCATCTTATCTTAAGTGTTGAGCGTAAGAAGCTGTTGATGGACGTCTGTAGTTTGTTGGAAATGCTTTTCGTAATGAGCCAAGTCTCTGAACCATCACATAGAAGCACTGACTTGACGTTAGTGCTGGAAATCTGGATTTTGTTCTTTATGCTGAGTGTAGTAGATCTCAACACTGATTTCAGATTAATGAATGCCTATCTTGCTGTCTTTCCAACCCTGGCTTCGATATCCTGATCTATGCCACCACTTGTAGTTAAAACGATGCTGCCTAGGTAGATGAATGAGGCTACTTCATTTAGGTTTCTCTCATTGATGTTGATTGGTCCTTGCTGCTGATGCTGCCGTTGGTTGAGTATCTTCTTCACCTCTGACTTTTCTACGTTCACTTGAATTCTCATCTTTCCTGCTTCTTCTGTCAAGTTGTTAGTTTTCACCTATAGATCTTCGAGTCTGTGTGACATTAGACATAAATCGTTGCGAAATCCAAATCTTCTAGGGTCTCTTCATAGGTCCAGCGTATACTCCTCTTCTCGCTCCTAACAGTTTGTTCTATGATTCAGTCCAATCAACCACAATCAGGAAGGTAATCGGTGATAGTAGACAACCTTGTCAGCTACTAGTGTACTTCCTACAGTCATCTGTCGTTCAGGCTAATGCACATATTGATGACTGTGCTATCGTACACCATCTGATCAGTTTACAGATGGTATCTTTTAGTGAGATTCCAATCATTTCGGATTAGAAAAAGGCTTGATTTAAGATTCAAAAAAACACCCACCTACTCCCTGACAGCAGGATAGGCTTAAAATAATTGTTAACTGAAAGAAACCTGAAAAAGACAAACAGTATGATGTCAAGTTTCAGATATAAAACTATAGGACTAGTGATCTAAAGTCAGCTGACTAGAATTTTGAGTGATGTATTTCTTTTTTTACTCCCACTTAAGTCAAGAACAGTAAACAACAAAAGGAGGATAGAGTGGAGATGGCTGTCTTCTGGACGTATCATTTTCACAGTTGTACATTCTTAACTACATAAGTAAATTGATACAATGTTCTAGACAAGTTTCCAACCAAAGGTCAAACTTAGTTGATAACTATAAATAGAGAATGAAATGAAACTGCGTAACACTAGACACGATCTCAATATTTTTTTTACAAAAGGTAGTAAACAGTAAGATTTGGTACTTGGGAAAAATAAACAAATAAGCGTTTAAAGAAATGTAGGTAAAATACATAAGCAGGGTGAAAGCGGATGTACCCAGTATCCGATTAAGGATATTTTATAAACACATCCAAGGTTTGCAGCTGTGATTCGCCAAAGCTTAGGCAAGGCACAAATGTTCAATCCCCACCCTTTCTTACCTGTTTAGTCAAACTTTGCTGAGAAATTTAAACCAGGATTTTAAGAGGACCTAGATGTGAGTACTCTACAAGGTATTCAATGATGGAGCTGAAGATGGTTTTTTCTCACTCATCAGCAACCAGGCTGGATAATGCTCCCGAGAGTGTTCCTCAAGTGATCGGGTAGCACGGCCAACGTACTCAGCTCCAAAGGAAAAAGTGAACTTGTAAATGCATGCTGCTTAGACCCACTGATGAATCAGCTGTTACACATGAACACAATATTAAGATTCACAGCACTAAATGTCCTACTTAGGGACATTGAAAAACTTCAGTAAAAAATGCCCACTACAATTTCCCCCTTTGAATCTAAGTTTCCGTAAAAGTATTTGTTTCGCATCTGTCTGAATCTGTCTCACACTCTTCTCTTCTTTCATATTTTTTTCCATAACTTGAAAAGGAGACAAATTTACCACGGTATTTCTCAGGGTGCTATTAATTCTTATTCAGGTGTATTATCAGTGCATTTCTCTCTTATACTTGATGACAGTGACCACACAAAATCCCTCTTCCGAAAGTATTTCATTAGAAGTAATGCATCAAATTTATTGGTACAAAAGATAACTAAAAACCTGAAACTTTTGTTTAGTTTTTCGGTCCGCTAATCTGTTATGGTTTCGAAGCGCTAACTGTATATGTATATATTCCGGAATGAATATAATACGCGCGCTTAGCTGACAGCTAACTTCGTATGCAAGAGATACTGGCTGCAACCCCGAGGCGAATAGAGAGAAGACCGAAGCTGGCAGATGGCAGAGTGTATTACTCCGAGAATATAATATAATAATAATGAATCAATCCAAAACACGTGAATAAGTATACACATGAAAAATGACCTTGTCCGCAATTGGAGAAATTCTCATAGTAAGAGTAAAAGTTAACCAATCAGCAAACTACCTTACAATGGAGGCAGAAATAGACTATTAGTCATACCGTAAAAATGATGTGGGAATGACACGATAAAATGTTCAGATCAATAACAATGTTTTATGCAAGACTGGGGCATCACAACATAATCAATTTCAATATTGAGTTTAATAGTGTGCAACTTCAATACGCTTTTCAGCTTGTCAACTCATGTTACAACTTATCGTCATTAGGTCCTAAAGTTGTCAATAATAATGCTTAGTAGTAGAAACACTTTGTAGAGTGATGTTCAAGAGAATTCAAAAATCTTGAATAACAAGTTTTCAACTTAGTTTAAAGCTTCTTACATATGTTTGCATACAAATTATTGCATTTTCAGTTCCAGTTAATAATGAACGCGATTTTTTCATGGTAACCGGCTACGATAGTTACTGTAAACGCAGTTCTGGTTGACTAAATGTCAATACAATGTAGACTGATTGTGGATCGAAATGATATAGAAGAGTCATTCAGTGCTGACAAAACTGAAAATATGAGGTGATTACAGTTGATTCATGAATATAACAAGGACTAAAGTGGGATAACAACTCAAAAAACTGATAAACTGATTTGTTAGATGTTAGAAAACCGTCTCTGATACAAAAACTGTTCAGTCAGAAGAAAATAACTAACTAATAACTTTCTGCTACAATGAGCACCCAATTAACACCAAAACACAAAGGTCATGAAACAAAAAATTACCTCTGACTACTGAAAATAAATTCCCATTTCTAATCACTATTTAAATGAGATTCATTAGAAACACTTTTTGAACCACATGCAAGATGTAAATTGCGTTTATAAACAATTGCAGCTACGAAACAGTAAAATGTATAACAGATCACCTTAAAATTAATATCTTAGTTTCTGCTTTAGGTGGTTTGTTTCCTAAGCATGGAATAAAGTTTCACATTTAGGCTTCATAATAATATCAAGGTAACCTCATCATATGGAACACTGCTTCAGTCAGTAAATTTCAAACAGTACCCATTTCTGAGAGGCTAGCCATTTTATTCATGTCACCACTGTAGATAAGAGTATCCTGTAAATTACATTACATCTAGGGAAAAATCATAGGCCGTAATCATAAAGGACGAAAATAAAACTTTGTTTACATTGAACACATTGAACTTTGTTTAAATTAGTACGTGGATAATGAAAATGTATTTGTCATTGTCACTGTTGTTATTGTTATTATCATTTCTACCAATCATACTGTTCCTAGTTTAAAATGAATAATGACTAATTTGTGCTTTATACTGAGATAAAAAATAAGTAAGCTGATTCATATATTCACTTGAAAATAATCTGCAGCATTCAATCGGTTAGACACTTAGCTGCTAATTTGTAGTTTTCATGTCAGTTGATTTGTAAAACCATGCATAGAGAAAGCAACTTGGCTTTAATGGATGCATACCTAAACAGCCTTATCGTGACGGAAAAACTTACTTTCTTTGACATCTAAATTAGCGTCCTCTATCGGCAAAATTATGTGAATGAAACAAATTTTTAAAAAAATATCTTCAGGCAATGCTGAGGTATTTTTTTAGTTGCCCGTATGTCAACAGAGGTTGATCACGTCTACCAAGTATAATAATGACACTCGTTGCACAAGAGGTGTTCTGCTTGCTCAGCAGCCTCAGTGGATATCACTTTGAGTATGAAGTGATATTAGTTCGTTTCTAGATTGGTTGGGAATACCATCACTCATTTGGATGCGGGGGCATGCGACTGATGAGTACTGAATACAATGAAGTGTATTTCATGGTTTCAATTACTAGCCATCATTAAATAAATTACTAATCGAAAACGTATTTCCAAATGTTTCCTACCGTTTCTCGTACATAAACTTACTAATTAACTATAAGGGAAGTCGTAGTTTATTCCTCAGTACTTATTAAAATTTATGAATAGAAGCATGCAAAAGTAGTAAGAGTGAAACACATGAGTATTATTGATGAAAAACAGGTATGAATTGTGAACTCCTCAAAAACCAAGCAACTGAATAATACTGTTGTGTTTGATTGTAAAGTGATTTCAAGCCGCATTTTCTGAAGTTCGAATGAGGCACTTTGTCCTGTAATACTGGTCAAAATGAAAGTTAAAACAGATAACAATAAATGATGATCGCAATATGTACCAAACCGGCAGCAATTATACGAGTTGACCGATAACTTCGAACGTCATAACGTAATATCAGTATGCTTACCACCACTACTGTGTCTTGGACTTTGTTGTTGTTCATGTGTTTTCAGTGCTTATAAGCTTTAGATTAAAATCGAATAGCCATCCATCACTTCTTCTTATCTTAAATAAATCAAGATGATAAAACTAAGTACCAACTAATACGGCTAGGATATGAAGTATACTGGAACTAAAATGAATGTATATATCCACTACTGCTTATTTATAAATTTGTATACTGACTGTTTCACTAGTATGATTTCCTTTGCGATTAAAACTCAGGTTCAAGGAGGTAAAACATAGACTACTTATTTTTATATGAATAATTTTCATTTTCAGTACCCGTGAAGAGAAACGTTGTGGATACCGACATTCAAGTGAGAAAGAACACTGATTAGTTTCATCATTTGTTCTTTGTAAACTTACTAAATCTTCCGTTGTTTTAATTTCTTTTATAAAGTGTTTGTACCATAAATCAGGATTGTTTTGTGTTGTATAATGAATAATCAAATGGGCTATATTTGTTCTGTCATCTGGTAGTATCCATTCAACTGTTATGATATATGGAGTTTTCCAGTATCCTTGAATATCTGTCGGTGGTGATGGACCTTGAAAATAAAATGAAAAAAACAACATAGGTTTGCTTCCTTGAATATTCAAAGACCTTTAGTTTCAAATACCTTCCTTTAAAAAGAAAACCACCTACTTACGAAATAACCGGAAAAAGATAAATATCCCTCGTTGAATTCAAGCGCTGGGAGATGGGTTGTCACAAGTATAGGTATATTATGCGTCATCTTCAGAATAATTATTGTTCTGACTACTGAGAGTTATCAAAAGGTAAGAAAATCACGTTCAGTGATCAAGCTTTTAGCTAATAGTAACGAGACTCCAGAATATGTACTTACTGTATGGCTTGTTAGTGTATTTCGTACCTTTGAAGAACTAAAAATACAATGTATTTTGCAAGTTATCATTGCAATTGACTGAAATGTATTTGCGTTTCTTCACTTGTGGAATTTTAGACAATAAGTGCCTCAATGAGAGTTTATTTCATGTTTAATACAATCCCACAGCGTTTGGAAAAATTCTAAAATCTGAACCTATTTGATGCATAGTACCCAAATGAACGGAGATCAGAAGATAGAGCGAGAGAGTGAAAAAATTCAGTATATCTAGTAAAATAAGTTGGTCACTTATATACAAAGTTTGTGATGATCGAAAAGTGTTTCCGAATAGTATTTTACAAATAACGGTACCACTAATTAGGTTAAATGGAAATTATTCTGATATTTCTAATTACTACATCAGATTTACAGTCAGCTCATTTCAAACTTGCCGCTACTCATACTTTTTTGAAAGAATGTTGTGGAAACATGTCTAGATAACGTTGTGCATTTGATGTTTGTATGTGACCTTATAACCTTCAATCAGATTGATTGCTAACTAAGAATAATGAGAAATGAAAGATGGTTTTTTTATTTCTTAAAATTTCTGGTAGTATATCTAGTTCTTGATTGATCACTTGCTTCATTCACGTATGCAGATATTCTGTAACTCAGAGCAAATGTACTTATTTATACTGATGAACGACTAATGTTCTTTAATTTCCATCACCAACTTAAAACTCTTCAAAGTATGTGACACGTTCACATGTGCTCGAGTTTGTGTTAACACTCAATAATGTTTCAAAACTTTAGTTAATTGTATGAGCTAGGAAAATACCACGTGAATAATATTATTGATCAGTGCTTTATAAGTAGTTACACCTTGCCTAGATGTAACTTTCTTTGATATCGCTCTGCACTGAAGGTCAATCGTTCTATTTTCTAAGAAAAATTTTTGTTGACTTTAGGCTAAAGACGAGATAATATTTGAGCAAGTGGGCGATGAATTAAAGAAGTTTTAAGACAGTGACGGTGCAGTGAAACAGATATCCTGTCAGTTGCAGTCATCAACCTTTCATAACAAAATGCATCAGACAAATGAATCCTGTGTAAAATAATCTAATGAAAAGAAAGAAGTCATATAATTTCCCGATTACAAAAAATGAAAACATTTGGAATGCAATTATAGATCAGATACTTATATAACAGTGGGAGTATTTTTACTCCATGAAATCAGGGAAAATGATTATAAGGCATGATGTCTGAGTCTATTTTAATTGTTAGTATTTTAGGTGATATTAAATATTGTGTTATATCGTGACACTGGTTTTAGTCAGATCAGTATCCTTCACCTCAACTTCTCGTAACTGAAGTGGCCCATAGTACATAGTCTTCATGCAAAAGCATATGACTCATAACTATCTTGTTTCTATGTTCCGGATGTTAATTACACGAATTCCGAGTATTTAGATCAAACCATCATTTATGCCTCTGAAGTAAACCCATCACAATAAAGTGAATTCTTGCATTAAAACAGATTTGTTATATTCTGATCCCAGTAACACAGATGCATCCACACACTACACACAACCTAATCGTTTTATAAGGTTTTTGTTCATTTATTTTTCTCTTGTTCTCTTCATATGAATTTTTATATCTTTAGATTACATTATTTTTATTTCCCGTCTTTAAAAGTACTATTTTTCTCTACCCTGAAATGCTCATGAGAAATATGACACCTTGGGATGTTTCGCTTGTAGTGTTTTTATATTGTTCAGCTCGACATGAACTACACTGATTGGATCTAACTGTCCGTCTACTATTGACATATGGCCTCCTGTGTGGATGACACGATATTACCTGTAGTTTCAGATTGATAATAATAATGGAGTTTAGATAGCAGTGGAATCCAATGAGCGCTTTTCGTCTTATTTGGAACCCATCAGCCCATTTAGTCACGACGGGTATGGTAGAGTTTTAATAACATAGCTTGTGCATCTTCGTCGTTGGTTGGACCAAATTGATTGGCCATGATTGACATTTTGGCTCCCATACTAATGGCTCTGACATTAGAAGCGATTGGTCCTGAGTTAGAGTTATAGTGGGGACGACACCTACTGAGAGGGAGGTATATACAACTGTCGAGGCACAAATAGGACGGAACACGTGTCCTGAATTCCATTGCTAACGACTATCGGTCAATAATATCAAATTACATCACTTAATTTAAATATAGAATCTGTCTGAGCTGAGCGCATGTTACAAATTTCAGGTGACAAAATATTTCTGTTATTGATAAAATCATACTCATTTCTATTATACACATATATTTCATGTGCTTTAGTAGTGTGATGTAGAATTTCACAAGTCTCACACTCAAACTTCAACAACATTCCGCCCTCAAAATATATAAGCTTGTTTTCATTGTACATGTCACCTGAACTATGTACATTAATTTTTGATTACATTTTCCATCACGAAGTATCTTATTTAACTGTACTTCTATATGACATGCCTATGGAAAATACTTGGTTAAGTCAATTTACATGTCAATGTCAGCTTATTAAATTACATCTATAGTATTTTGAACCACTTAGGCAAAGGTAATTCATATTAGTTAGGACTGTGATTTACAGAAGGTGAAAACATTTTTTTAATAATCCCACCAAAGAACGATAAATATCCTGAACAAACAATATGAGCGAAGAAATATTTCTTTTCAATTAGTTCCTCATCAATGGCTCTACACTAATATAGCATTTTCAAACGTAAAATTGCATACCAATCTAATAGTGAAGTTGTTCAATGAAAGGTTATCAATCTCAAAGTATCAAGAAGGTGATAACTGATCAGGTAATTAAGACAGCATCACCTCCTTAGATGTCCGATTGACAAGGAAGGTGGATGGAACTATAAAAAGAAGTGTGTATTGGAAACCAGCGTCAACAGATCAATACACCCACTTCTTGAGTTTCATCCCCTTGCAATATAAACGAAATCTCGTTAAATGTTTGGTCCATCGGGCGAGACTCATCTGTTCAGATGATACTTTTGACGAAGAGCTTCAAATTATCCACGATCTACTCAGTAGTAATGGATATCCAGAAACGTTCCTGGCTGAAAATATGAACACATCCAATATCAAAACCAGAATGCCTACAGTCTCCAAGAAACCATTGTTCCTAAGACTACAATTTCGAGGTGACATCATCAGCGAAATTGTGACACAACGCTTAAGAAATGCCATGTTGTGTTTCCTACAGCCGGCTGACGATGACCACACAAACTTAAGACAGACTCCCTGACTTCTCTTCTATGTGCATTTACCAGTTCAACTGCTCCTGTGGAGCTAGTTACACTGGACGTACAGTTAGGCAGGTTCGTCGTCGAATCGCCGAGCATCATCCTTCATGGCTAAGTAAGGGGGAAACCAGATTGACACGAAGCTCAATACTCTCTCATCTGATTGACACCGGCCACCGAGTTAACATTCATAATGCCTTTAAAGTTATTTATCACATTCCTTCTCACCTCACCCATCCTCTACGAGTTCGTCTTTTACATACAACAGAAGCCATAGGAATCCACCTACACAAGCCAAGTCTGTGTGTTCAGAAGAGATTCTTACAGCCTCTTTCTTTGCCTTGGCCATCTGTATAGCTCATTTATTACAACAAGACTCTTCATTTCATCCACCAAACAATTCACTATAACTAATATTTTAATAGCTCCATTATTATTATTACAGATTTATCCATCTTTCTCTCCCCTACTGTCTCTAATTACCGTCAACAATTTACCACTTTACGTAACAGTTCATTTTCGCTCTTTAGTTATCATTATACAAAACATCAATTATGTAAGAGCCTGTTTACAAAATCTTTCTACGATAATTAATCTTTGCTTTAGTTAACTGTCTTAATTACCTGATCAGTTATCACCTTCTTGATACTTTGAGATTGATAACCTTTCATTGAACAACTCTCACCATTAGATTGGTATGTAATTTTACGTTTGAAAATGCTATATTGGTGTAGAGCCATTGATGAGGAACTAACTGAAAAGAAATATTTTTTCGCTGACATTGTTTGTTTTACTAAATGTCTAAATGGGAATTTTTGCATTACTGAAATATCCAGAAATTGGTGATAATTTGTAGATCTGAATGTCAAGTATCCAACCATCAAAACTTCTTATCTATAATCGTTTTCAAACACTTGCTTGCACATTGGAAGATAGTGTTCAGATAAAAGTGAGAGCTTCACTTCAAGACAAACTGCGCTTTAAAACTTATATGTGTATGTATGGTTTTCAACAATGCTGTAAATCTGACGCAATCTGGGAAATGATTTTAAATCATGATTAACTGTAGTCATGAAATAGCATTAGAAAAGAATATAGACAAACGTTATCATGCATGTCAACTTCATGAGGGTTACTTTGTATACTAGCTGGTTGCTGAATACTAAGAATTACACGAAGACAATGTCGTATGGTCCAAGTAGACCATTTCATTGGTTCTTTGAAACAAAAGTTTAAATTCTGAGGAACAAACTAGTGTCCATAGATAACAGCTATAGTAAAGATTCTAAAGCATTTTGTTGGTAGCAATAAAATGGACGATGCCTGAAACCGATTACATTCCCAGTATCATTTGACGATATATCAGTAGGATGTACAACTCAAGTTTCACTTCTAATACAACCTTTTAACTGAGTGAA